ATTTGCCATGTGGTCATTGTCGATAAGCCCAATTGTTGAGAAGGCCGCGGAATGGATAGATTTGGATCTTCTTCAACACTTTTACTCACAGCAGCGATATTTTCAGCTGAACGACCCGGACGAACATGAATTGGAGTTGGTATGTTGTTGGTTGAACCAGTAGATTTTAATTTATCCACCAAATTCCTAATAGCGTTCTCAGATGGCCGACCATGACGGCCAAACATATTAAGAATTTTACGATATGTGGTTTTCACCCAACGACCATTTTCGTTATAGGTTTCGATGATTTTAATTAAAATATTAATACGATTTTCGATTGAAATTGAAGGCATTTTTATAAATGGCAAAGCTTTTACTGACATATATCAAAAAAGTAATTGTCAAAGCTGTCATCTTATCAAAATTTGCCCCTATTGAAAAAAGAAGTCGCCGATGGTAAACCCTGTACATATATTATATATATATGTTGGGAACAAATCTTGATCTTTTATTTTGACGATTATTATAATACATTGCCTTCGAATCTATATTGGTATCACAACCTAAAAACACCACTTGATATACAGGGTGTTTCACATTGGTGGTCCATTGGAAGTTTCTGGAGAACGGAAAAAATATAGATTTGAAATTTAAAAGTATAATCCATTAAGTCTATTTTTTTAATATTTTGAACAAAATGCAATTGTTATTTCAAATAGAACACCCCATATATTTTTACATTTTAAATTCTACATAAAATTCTGAGTAAAATTACTATACCATTTGAATATTTTTCTAGATTTTTGCTATTAGGTTTACGGATAAGGGGGTAAAATGTTTGGAATCTAATAACATTGTTTAAAAAATACCATGTCAATTCTTTAACATTTTTCAACAAATTGGGCTAACTTGAAACGTTAATAACTTTTTTATTTTAAATGTAACACCCAGTATGTTAAGAAATTGACATGGAATCCTTTAAACAATGTTTTAAGATTCAAAAAATTCCACCCCTATTTCTGCAAACCTAATAGCAAGAAAGTTATAGGCTATTTTGATTGACGCGCATTTGTCATGTTTTAACGGAAAAAATTAATAACTCCAAAACTATTTACTCTAGGTATAGGACATGGTACAGTAATTTTACTTAAAATTTATAAAGTAATTGTCAAAGATTGTAGTTTAATTTTTTGTAAAACTTAAAATGGACTGTATTTTTATATAAATATAAATTTTATTTGTTTTGTATAAATATTATTTAAATACCCCATCAAGATATCTATATATAAATATAAATTCGTAAAAACAGTCCATCATAAGTTTTACCCTACAATAAAATATAACTAATCTTTGTCAATTAGTTAAACTACGTGTAAATACGTTCAAAACACAAAATAATATTTTGGCACAAAGTACCAATTGACACTGTTAGATTGGTTTAAATTGTATGGCTCTTTGTAAAGCATACATTTAAGATTAATGTAATTTCAGAATGTAATTTCATTGTATACAGTCATCTCCACAATCACTTCCTAGTAGCACAAAGGTATTGGCCCAATGTAATAATTTAATTATCTACTAATTAAAGTAAATAAAGTACAGTATTTTACTTGAAATTAAAGTTAAATCGCATATTTTTTCATTTAGTAAAATTTCATTAAAATAACTAAATATTTAATTTTCACCAAAATAAAACTGGAAACGAAGATTTAACATTTAATTTCAAGTTTGTCTTTCAACTTGCGACGAGTAAACGAAACGGAGCTGGATGCAATTATTTATATCATTTGCGTTGAGTTTTCTTATTAGATAAGTGTTAGATTGTATTTATGCAATTGCGGATGTGCCGCTGACTTGTGAAATGAAAAGTAACGCAAGATTCGAATTGGAGCAGCTCTCGTCTAGACGTCGCATCTTAGCTCACTATTTACACAAACGGCTACAAATTACACAAATTAAATGCGACGATGAGAAGAAGAAAGTGTTTTTTATTACCAACGAATTTCTTTGCTAGCTTTTGTTAAAGTTAATGAAAAATTAAACCAAAGGAAAGGAATAATGGTAGGTTAAAATTCAAAAAGATGTAATTTTAAGGAGATAGGATTTCAAAGTAAATTAAATATTTTTTGTGTTATATCAAATGATATTTATTTGTTAAAATTCTCTTAATATATATTTGTCTCATTTTGGTAAATACTTATTTTCCTTTCAAGTGCGTAAAGTTACATTTTTCCGCACGCTACTGCAATTGCACGAACTACGCGAAGCAGGCAAGTGCGGAATAATTACTTTGCCCATGTGTTACGAACAACAAAAACTTTACTAGCGTGCTAAAAGTTAGATAACAATGATTATTAATGGTTATTACCAGTGGCGGCTGGTAGATTTTGGGCACACCCATATCTCAGTTATTAGACATGAGACTCACATCAAATTTACATGAGTTTATAATGACATTATATAGACAAGATCTGCGCAAGCAGAATTCAAATTAAAGTTTGCGAAAAAAAGTTTTTTAAGTGTGCCCCCCCAGCCCCCTGCCCCCCCAAATTAAGATAATTCAAATGGTGGTACAATATTTAATTTACTGAATATCGACAAATTTCAAATTTTATTAAAAAAATTCAAGTATTACATATTTTATCCCATTTCTATTTTTTTTAAATTTAGTAAAAGAAATAATAAAAATTTAAAATGGTATGTGGTTTTGGTCAAATTAAATCATACTACACAGAAAAAAAGGAAACAGGAAGTTCCTTGACGCATTACTGGTATATTACCAGTGGTATTATTCCAGGAAATTGAACCTTCAACTCGCTAGAGATAATGTTTTTAGTGCGTTCCACCAACTTAAAATACTTCAAGTATTGACAGCTGTTTCCACCTATTTAAGGTCTCTTTAGTAGTAGCAAAGGACTACCTGAGCTTATATACTCTTCATGTAAGTCAACAGAGGCGAGATTTAAGAACATCACGTGATCCACACCGCCTTTGCCGCGATCGGTACACACTATGCAACCAGGAATGCCCGGCAAATTGTTTTAATCGTTTTAACAGAGTGCTTTAGGTTGAAGTAACTCTTATTTTACAAACAACATATTTAGTAAATTGAACCATACAGCGGGTTGGTTTCACTAAAGTTTTCTGGGTTAATTTAACCAATTTAAAAAAAAAAAATAACTATCTGGTTTAGTACCGTCAAACTAATCTTTGTTTATATTAACCTTGCCACAGTTGATTTAAATAAATACTTATGGGTCAACTAAATTAATATAGTTAAATGAACTATTCCTTTTTTTCTGTGTAGGTGAACTTCTCAAATATTTTTAGATAAACCCCGTTTTGGTGTTTGCTGTATATAAAATTTTCAACCATAATTCATGGTGTTTATATTAACACCACTTGGTGTTGGATTTTGATACCATTTTAAGTTTACTCTTTACACCACAGATATTTTAAACAGTGTAATTGCTCAGTTGTCAAAATTTCATCATTTGTATCTTTCAATAAAGGTATTGTAAAAAATAGTGTGCATAACTTTTACGTAGATTGATACACACATTAAAATGATCAAATCCGATACTTCAGAAAGAAGAGAAGCAGTTCATAAGTCTACTTAAAATGAGTTCTATGCTGTTTGCAGGTTGCATCTGTGGTTAGTACGACATTTATTTATTTAGACGCACGACGACACTATAATTGTTAAATACACAGTACGGTCGTATTTACCTACTACATGCCAAACAGATTGGAAATGTTTTCTTTTTAGTAAACATTGATTGAAAGGAAAAGGAAATTATACACTGGAAGATAAGTATACCCATAAAAAGTATTAATTTAAAAATATCAAAAATAAAGTTTAACATTAAAAAACAAACTAAAATAATAATAAATAACTAGTACTAGTACTAGTGAATGAAGAAAGATTTAGAAAATAGGCAGACATTGTGCTACAAAATTCGAGTTTAAAAAAAAATTCTTGACAAAATAAAAAAAAATAAAAACTTTTTTGCATAAGAGTCAACCAATTTTTTTAGCTGTCTGATTTCACTCGTTTTAATTTTCGAAGAAATAATCTTAAACAATTATGTTTAATTATTGTCCACAGAATGTATTATATTCTATATTTGTTTGTCCACCTAGTATAGTAACAGTTTACACATCAATTAATAAACACGTTACACTTTACTTTATGGTTCAATCTAGGACAAACAATCAATACTTAATTAAATTCTTTTTTCATAGTGTTTATTAAGGAAACTATTAGTACAAAGGGTAATCAAGTAAAACCGAAAAAATTTCTAATTTAATACGGTGGTTTATAGGTATTTTTACATAAATACAATTACCATTAAATATTTATAATCCACCTATAATTCTACTTTTAGATGACATTGCTTTGAAATATTTTTCCCTGGTGAATCATAAAGAAAGGATAAGTTATGGTACCAGTAATCTACTTTATATTTTTTGTATAGAAAATAGTCATTGTTGTAAGGGCGAAAGTAACTTTCTTACTTTAATTAACCTTTATTAATAAAATAAAGAAAATTTAAATATGTATGATGTGGGACGACAATTTGCTGACATTAGTATAAATTTAATGTTAAACTAGAGCGTAAAAAACTAAATTTTTAAAGAGGACTAAAACATAGCATTTTTCACGACCTTGGCTTAGTTCATTTTTGATCAGCCATTCAAGTGAAGTCTGACCTTTTGGGTCTCGAACAAGTGTAAAGAATATTTAAATCTTTTAAAGAAATAAATACTCATTAAAAACAGTTATTATTTTCCAATTAATTATATATAATATACTCAGGTACCTAGGTAGGTATAAATTTACCTTGACATTGATTGCGAAGAGTTCTTCGGTGTTACTGTGAACAAGAAGAACTGGGGCAGTCGAGAAAAATGCCCGTCTTAAACGTGTTTTGATCGACGTAGACAACCACCTGCCCGGGGTCACAGATGGTTTCAAAAGATGGGTAAAAATGATTAGGTTAAAATATTAATAAAGTATTTTTATTGACTCGTATAAAAATAACAATTGTCTTATAACTAGTGTCTGGTAAATGCAGACGTTATGGTATGTAAGTCTTTGTTCGTAGTCTAAAAACGTAGACTTAAGTAGCAAAAATATAAATTACTTAATTTATAGATAGAAAAATAAAATAAATACATAAATTAAGGTACAGGCGGGCCGTGATGCCCGTTCGATGGGAACTAGAGGCTCGCTGAGAATGACCGTTTCAGGTACACAGCCTGGGCAACAAATGGGTGAGTTTATTGCTGGGTGGCGGCTGGTTGGGCGTGGGCCCTGTAAGCGAGTTGCTGTCCCTCCAGGGAGCGTCCCCATCCTCCGTGACCGCTGGAAGCTCCGGCAGCCGCTCCACCGCTGTATCCTCCGGAAACATCGCCGCCATAGCCGCCTCCGTGTCCGCTGCCTCCGTAGACCGACTCGTGGGTGCTGACGTGGCTCGAGCTGTGCTGCGGGTGCGACACCACCTCGTAGGTGACGTGCTTGCCTTGTCCGCCGAGCAGCTTCTTCAGTCCAATGATGGCTGAAAGTACAAGTGCGATTTTACCGATGAGAAGGGCTTTACCGGCGATCAGAGCGATGGCGCCGAGGGCGAGTTTTCCGATGACGGCGGCTTTCAAGGCCATGGCGGCCATCAGCGGTCCCATGAGCTTGGCGGCCTTCTTCTTCTTGCCTCTGCCTTCTTCGGTCTCGATGGAGTTTTCTTCTTCGGCCAAGCTGTCGACTACGTCGCCGAGGGAACGAGCGGACGAACTCACGGCATTAACAATTTCACTTCCTTTCAAGTCAACTTTGATGGTGTGGGATTCGAGGAAACCGGAAATGCGGTTCCACAGTACGTTCTCGATGCTCTCGTCGGCGTTGTAAGCACGCGGAGCGCCGTCTCTCTCCTCGCCGGTCTTGATGATTTGCACTCCTTCGGTCACGGTGATGGTGTCCTTGTGTCCCAGCATCTTGTCGACGAAGTTGAAAAGCTTGTACTTCAGACAGGACATGGAGTCCTTCCTGAGGCAGTCGGTGTAGATGGAGTCCAGCAAGTCATTCTCCGTTTGGATGGAGTTCCTCGAGCCGCGGGCTTCTTCTTGTGCTGGCAACGCACACGCCACGGCCACTATGCACAAAAGTATTCCGGCTTTGTAAGAATGCATTGTGTGTTGTTGTACTGTGAGTTGATGATCGGTGTGTGATGTCCTGGAGATGCGGCGTATGGATATATATTGCCGGCTCCCTCCCTCTTTCCGACGACTGGTCTCAGCACAATTTGGGTCCAGAGAACATAATAAAGGCCGCGGGGCGAAGTGTTGGACCGCTTTCTCAGAGCGTAGCTGCGCCTAACCTCGATTCTTCTCGAACGGCGACGGCCCGTACGCGGTCTGTCGTGTGTGTCGTGCGATATGCACGTACCGCGGACGCCTCTATTTGCTACCAATTTGCCTACGAGCAACAACTCGCTAATCGTGCCTTGTCTATGTACATCTTACATCTCAATACTGCAGTCTAGACATTATCTATCGATAAAATCCATCAAAAACACGCGTCAAATACACCAGATTCTATAGTGCAAAATATATTTTGGCCATTTTTGTGCAAAGGCCAAAACTATACAAAAATATCCACAATAACTCCTTAAAATGTCCTAAAACAATCTTAAAAACGTTTTAATATTTAAAATAGGAAATATTAGCCTAATCTATTTAACACGATTAATTTTTATTAGAACTTCACTTTTATTGGGCAATAATGGTATATTGTATATATGTATATATTAGGGTGGCCCAAAAAAAAAGAATATATTTTTTCTTATCTCTTGTGAAAATAAGTTGGTTTATCATGTTTTAAGACCCTTGTCAAAAAATCAGCTGGATTAAAAAAAATTTTAGGAGTCGCTCAAGATTTTTAAAAAATTCCAAAATCTTCAAAAATTGAATTATTTTTTATTTTTATTTTTTTTCTCGTTTGAAATAATAAAGATTCTGAAAATTTCAAATCGATATTTTGATTTCTAAAGATTTTTGAACTTTCAAAGTAGAGTATTTTGAATATTTTCGATCGACCTCTGAATATAAATATTAACGAACTTTTAACGACCTTTAGAAATCAAAATATCGATTTGAAATTTACAGAATTTTTATTAATTTCAACCTAGAAAATAATATCGGGACGAGAAAAAAAAATTTAATTAAACAAAAATTTAATTTTTGACGATTTTGAAAATTTTTAAAAATCTTGAGCGACCCCTAAAAATTTTTTAATTGAGCTGGTAGGACTCTTACAACATGATAAACTAACATATTTTCACAAGAGACGAGAAAACAAAAATATTCTTTTTTTTTGGGCCACCCTAGTATATATGTATCAAGTAAAAATGATTTTAATTAAAATTTTTATAAAGCGACATCTACGAGTATAAAAAAATAAAGTAGCCATTCCAATAAACATTTTTGACGTAATTCTCACCATTAACATTGTCCGTTATTATTTTAATTAACCATAACATAATAATACATTTTATCTCCACGCGGTCTATAATTTAAACTTTATTGTTATCAACATTAGATAAAGAAATACATTGTTATGGCCTAGGCCGATAAAAATTTAGTATTTAGTATTTAATTCGATTTTTTCTCGCTAGGGGTATTGTTTTGACAAATTAACCCTTTTCTAAGAAATTAACGTACTAAACTGGTTTAATTTATTTATAATAAGCACTAATTTGTTTGTTTTACTCTTAATGTTTTTAATATTTTTCATTAAATTATTGTAAAATTAAATATGAATAATAAAACAAAAAGTGAGGTTAGGCAACCAAGAAAACGCACGATTCTTTTTCTACGATTTAAATTATCTTTAAGTTTTAATTTGCTTTAAGTTTTCAGTGAAATTAAATGTTAAACACAGCTTAAACATTACAAACCACCTATTTTTTAAATAAAAATCCAAACAAATTGAAATTAGATACCTATTTATTAAACAATTAATTGAATTCAATGTAATAGCAAAAATCCATTTCTACTTAAATCATGTTGCTAGGTATTGTCAAACTAATACTGCTTCTAAAAGCAATAATATGTATTGTACATTTAATGTAATCTTTAGCTAATAAATAAATGAGATTCTAAAAAAGTGAGGTTAGGCCGCTTTGATGTTGAATTAAATTGACCTATATATGTAAAGTGCTTTGAAGATAAAATGTTGTATGCCATTCGGCCAAGAAGTGCCTTTTTATGCTTCGCTCAATTGTAGGCCTCTGCTACGCGTGTCGGCCTTCAAACCTTGAGCTTAGCACAAAAAGACTTACTTCTTAACCTAATGACATAAATAACTATTATTGGGCAATAATGCTATATTATGTATTATGTCTTATAAACTCCATTTTAAAAATGATTTTAATTAAAATTTGTAGAAAACAACATATATACGAAAATATATAAAGTATCCATCCCAATAAACATTTTTGACGTAATTCTTACACGGAAAATGTTAAAGGTACAAAAAGTGACAGTTGTTTTTATTGGAATTTCCGTTAGAATTTCTAACTTGAGAATCTACCGGCGTTAAAATCTCAACATTTTTTGTGTAAATCAAAATTTATCCCTTGAAAATATACTAACAATCGATATAGAAGCAGTTTTTCACAGTAAAAGAGAAGAGAATGTTTTATGGGCACTGTACGCAAAATTTTTAACGCTTTATCAGTTAAATCTATTTTACTGCACTACTTCGGCGAAATCAAAAAGTCAGTACAAACGTTTATATAATCTTTTTAAATCGTCAAGAGACTATTAAATACTTGTATTTTTGTATTGAGATAATAAAATAGTTTTCGCATTTAGTATTTGTTTACAACAAAGACACTTTAATTTAACGATTGTATGACATTTCACAATTTGTTAATGTGTATTTAAAAGGTCAATTAGTGTCTTGGCAGTAGAAAATAGTATATTATGTATCAAGTTTGATAAACGCCATTTTATACACGAATTTAATTTAAGTTATGAGTGTATAGAAAAGTTTATAAACGAGGTGCATACTATACTTTTTCTAAGAGCGCCATCTATGAAACAACAGGGGAAACTGTCAAATGTCACATTTTTACATTTTATAAACACAATTATAAAGGTTATAAATCGAAATGTATCTTAAAAATTGACAGTTTTTCACAGTGAAAGTAAAGGAAATGTTTTATGAGGACTTTACAGTAGAGTCCGTGCCCGAATTTAAGTTATGGTTTACTGCCGGCGAAATTAAAAGGTCAGTACAATGTTCATATAAACTTTTCAAATATTGGCGTTGAGAAACTATTTAATATTTTTGTATTTTTGTATAAGAGATAATAAAATAATTTTCACATTTAGTATTATTTTACAAGAAAGGCACTTTATTTTAAGGATTGTATGACATTTGACAACAGTTACTGTCAACTAACTTAAAACTGACTTCAGCCCGTGACTAAAAACCTGTTGCTAACTTCAGCCCGTGACTAAAGTTTCAAATTATAATTGTTGACTTCAAAAATAAAAAAACAAATCCCTATGATATTGGAGTGAAAATTTGGGTTGTAGAAAATATTTAATAATATATTTTGGCTGGTACAAGAGCATTCAATAGAAAGTAAAATGGTTTACTAATATCAAAATGTTAATTGATTTCAGATCAAAAAAAGAAAACTATATTACCGTAGGTTTTAGTACTTTCATTTTCTGATGTAAGAATATCTCTACTTAAATGGATAAACGAGCAAATGAGGATCGTGTGTACATTGACGTTGAGTATATTATTATCTATATAAAATTGAATGTGTAGAACCAAAATAAACTAGTCGCAATGAAATGGGAAGCACTTAATTAAACCGGCATAACTTTATATAAATAGATATTAACATTACTATTCTATAAATTCTAGAATCACATTGGTTTCTGGGGAACGGAAAAAGTTATCAATTTGAAATTTTTAATGCGTTTAAAATCCAATTTTTTTAAATATTTTGATGTCACTTCCGGTTAAACCGGAAGTGACTTCAAATTTGTTTTTTCAAATGGAACAACCGATATATTTTTACATTTTTAAATTCTACGTAGAATTCTAAGTAAAATTACTATACCATAGCAATTAGTGACTTTGAAACAATTTTAGAATTTTTAAATATCTCTGAAATTATTAACTTTAGGTTTACCTAATGAATATTAAGATTAATTAAAAGATTTATAATTTACTATTTGATTATGTAAAAACATACCCGGTCCTACAATTAAAACAAAGAAGTGCGTAAAAATTTTGTAATTAGTAATTATTTATTACACGAATAAATATTATTATTATTATTATTATTAATATTATTAAGCTTAATTTGGTTTTTCAGGTAATTTGTTAAAAAATTTAAAAAGATTCCAAAAATTCCACCACCATATCTGCAAACCTAATAGCAAAAAAGTTATAGGCTATTTATAATTGACGTGCATTTGTCAAATTTTAACGAAAAAAAATTAATAACTCGAAAAATATTCACTTTAATTATAGTAATTTTACGAATTTACGAATGAGAAACATTCTGTAAATATATATATATATACTGTCTGTCCACTCTAAGTTGGCTGAACTAAGGAATTTTGTTGTTTAGATATTAAAGAATTGTTCTGTGTGCTTTTAAAACAGATTTTATATTATAAATAAGGCCCGGATTTTTAGGTCATAAAAAAGTGATAAAAGGTTCTTAAATTAGGTGATATTTTTAATAAAATAGGTTATTATTTTAGGTACTTAATTAAAAAGTTATTATTGGTTGGCCCGTATTTAAAAATGTAAAAAAAAATTAAAAAAATAGGTCACATAGTTATAAAATTAGGTTAATATTTTAGGTGCCTACATTTTAGGTACTTAAATAAAAAAATAAAATAAGCTGATTTATTGAAATAAAATTTTTTATAATGTCGATATCGTTATAAAACCATACATAGGACTTATGTAGTTTTAGTTACATTATAATAATTATTGCTCTGTTAATGTCCGGCAATAAAGGATTTAAATTAAAAATGAAATAATATTTATTATTAACATTAACTGAACAAAAATGTTTGGTTGGAAAAATAACAAATAAAATAAAAGATTCTTTAAAAAAGTAAATATATCATATCACAAATAATGTAAAATAGCAAAAAAAACATAATAGGAACTCTAAAATTACAAAAAAA